GAAGAAACGTACACGCCACTCAGTACGGTCAGCGCTGATGCCGACTAACCACATCGCACACAGCCTTGCGGGCCGTGCACTCGCAGACTGAACTCAGAGTGGTCACCCATCCAAATCCAAACCGCGCTCGATGTAGGCTATCTTTCAAAATCCAAAGATCCATCCATTTAGCCACACGGAGTGTGGCTAAATGTAGTGAGAGTTAAGTAAAGGAAATACCAGAATATCAGAACGCCTCCTGAATCACCCGTGCCCGATTGAGCCGTCCCCAACAACCGTTTGTGGAGTAACAGTGACCACTGCCCATGACTCGTACCTCAACAGCCTTTTGTCCGTCTGGAATGAACTTCCCCTGATGCCCAACGCCTACGTCACGTTGAATACCTTTTCCGAAGCTTTAAAGACAGTAAACTGGAACGATTTACCATCAGCTAAAGCTTTCAGAACAAGTGACTAGCATAATTATATCTATTCTTTAGTGTTCAATGATAAAGAAGTAAATTTTAATTAGCAAGTATCACGGTTGCGACTCAGTTGAAACTGTACAAAAGGCGATTACGTGCGTAAGTGTCCTTGCTTTCCCTTTTTCCCACGATTTCTTTTTGAAAACATTTTGAAAATTTGTAATTGTCAATGTGGTTTTTGGTTTTATGCATCGACCCCAGCGCGATCGTCTCCCTTCCTTTTTCCACGATAACACCAACTGATCGCAACCTTTGTGACTCTCTGTACTGCCTTTTCAAGTGTTTTGCTGTTTATTATAAAACAATGTATGTTGTTGTCATCGTAATCACTTCATGTTTTCGTGTGTCACTTCATGATGCTGTTGCAATGTTTTGTATGTTTTTCCATCCGCTGTCTCGCTGTCTGAAGCTTAGAGGGGGCACTCGCTCCGTGCAAGGACAATAAACTTCCATTATTATAAAAGCTTAAAAGCAAAAAGGCTGGTTCTGGCCAATCAGAAGGCAAGTATAGTTCTGACCAATCAGGACGATTTGGAGGCGGGAACGTGACGAACAAACATCTCTGCTTTAATATACTAGACTAGCAACGACCGCGACGCTACGCGCCGCGGATCCAACGAAGGTGGATTAATTTGTAGTTTGTTTTTATTAAAAGGGTAGCATTTCACAGCTTAGCGGACGTCCTCAAATGGATAACGTTAATCTTTTAAACTAAAAAACCAACTCTACTGTATAGTGTGTTTAGTTTTTACGCAAAATATTTAACGCAGACAGTTTCATGTACCTATCCGCTAGCACAGCCGTGAACTCTCGCTTTATGACGTTACGCCGTTTACTCTCGTGCGATCACGTTACGCCGTTATCTCACGCGTAATAATGTTACGCCGCTAAACTATCACGCGGTAACATTACGCTGGTTACCCTCTGCAATAAAGATACGTAGCTAACCGTAGTAGATACGTAGATTTTGGAGTGATTACGTTACGCTGCCTACTCTCGCGTAATAACGTTACGCTGTTAAATCTTTGCGTGGTAAAGTAATGCAGATTGCTCTCGGGCGGTAACGTTACTCTGCTTTGTCTCGCGTGCTTAGATTACGTTGCTGCGTCTCGCGTGCTTACGTTATGTCTCCTGCTATTGCGATCTTGCGTTACTCCACTTACTTTTGCCGGATAACGCTACGCTGCTTCGGGTGGTTAAGATACGCCCCTTACTTTCGGTGGTAACGTTACGCCGCTTACTTTCACGTTGTAAGATTGCACTGACTACTCTCAGTAATAGATTTACGTAGCTTTCTCTACTCAGCTTTCTCTACTATATATATATGTAAGACTAGTCTTAACATATATATTGCCTTTAGGCATGGATTCAGGTCGTTTCCTATCTTGGGAACTGTTAAGGCCGGCTCAAGTTCTGAACGTAGCTAAGTATGATGCAGCTGCTCCACCGCACGAGATAGCTACATGAAGTGTCCACGCCGACAAATACGGTTCGCAAAACCACCTCATGAGGTGGAGCTGCTGCACCGTAACCAGATCTAGCTGGACTTTGAGAGTAGCCCTAATAAAGTGTAAACTTGTAATTCTGTAACACAAGACAGACAAAATCGTAGCTCTGTTAATAGAAAGGATGCGCAGAGTCAAAACGCGGACTTACATCGAGCAGCAGCGACTTACATCGAAGCGCGTAATAGGCGTTCCAAGTCCCAATTGGCTGAGCTTCGATGTAAGTCGCTTTTTGCTCGATGTCTGTCAATGAGCGTCGACGAAAACCGTTACCAACAAGGGCGTACCTTGTAACGGGTCTAAGCGACGCCCAGCGACTTACAAACTTCGTGTTTCTGCGATCTTGATTGGCGGGTCTGCATTTTGAGTTAGATCGAGGCTGCCCCCCGCCAATCGCGAAATTCGAAACCACGTGATTGTTTTCCCGTACTATAACTTAGCATCAGAAATCATGGCATTAGAACAACGGGCTCCTTCTTTTTCTTAGTTAATTTTTCAAATTTATTGGCCCACATCACTACTGTGGAAAACTGAAAAGTTTTTATTCTGTATTGGGTTCATGCAGCAGGGAAGCCTGCGTTCTGGGATTCCAGTTGTAGTCAAGTAAATAATCGTGTGGCTCCTGTTTTGTTAAGTGAGTTGAGTCTATCCAACTGTGTCGTGACTTGTTGCCAAATTATCCATGACAGCATTTATAACTCTGATGACAAGCCTATTGCAGATGGACAAAGAAAGGCCCAGTGGCGTGCAAATATGCATCTGGGCTTTCTTTAAAAATTTGTAATGTTCTTGTTATTTACTGGTGCTAATACCATTGCAGAGCAGGGAACCCTGCTTGCTGGGTACCCAGCTGACGATATGTTGACTGCGCTGTGCGCTTGTTCTTCGGTAGCGCTGCTACCCATAATGCTGGATAGCAAGCGTCTGGTATGTGTGTAATAGTTTTCATTATCTTAATTTAAACATAAACGATATAGCTGGGTTAGTTTTAATCTGTTTGTTTACCGTGGAAGTATATTTTGCAGCAGAACGGTAGCAAAAATTTGGTTTGGCTTTCTACTTTGTAACACAGCGGGTTCCCGCATTGATCTGGCTACCCAGAACAGTCTGAACAATACCTTTATTATTTACTATTTTGAATATTTTTAGGGTATTCTAATTATTTAATATCACCCTGCATTCCATGCTACCTTTGCCGCATACGCTCTTGCTGGCTACCCAGCTGCATTATTTTTTGCAGTTTATATTGCTGGTTGCAAATAAATTCCATATTTTATTTTGATTCCATACTACCGTATGGAAACAAAATAGAATATGGTTTTTGTTTTGTTGCTGCATTTTATTTTGTTTTATTTCCTGGTTATCAGCGATGCATTGACATTGCTTTACAGGACGAATAATTAATATTAATTTTCGATTTTAATGCTCTTATCTAAAGTACGAGCACAGTACTCTACTTCCGGTTTAATTATTAAATGTGCATTCTGTATGTAAGTGCGGTGGCCATGTAGTGCGCACACCGTCTGGTTTTACACGTACAGACTTAAAACGCAAGCCGTGCAAAAGGGCGCGGTTTTGCCTACTGTGTATGTAAGTGCATGGTCAAAATCGATGTAAGTAAGTCCTTGATGCGCCTATGCGCAATTGGTACAATGCTAACACTGGACAGACAGAAATGAAATTCTGAGTTCTGTGACTGAGGAGACAGAAACGCTAATGCAAGGGAGATGCATGTTATGTGGAAGAAGGCAGGGCAATGGGCAATTGGACATAGCTGCCTTGCTGAAACTGGCAAAAAAAGAGTTGAGATTTGTAAAAAGAGTTAAAAATTTGCAAAAAGCACTCACGCCTCCGGAAGTGTCCCGACGTTTACGAGGGTCGCCACGCTAGTGTTTTAAGCTATGGATCCACGCCGTGTGATACTGTAACTTGTAAGTTTGTAACTTAAGACAGACAGAAATTTAAACTGACAGGGAGATTTTGTGAGTGTAAACTCGGGAGTAGCAGAACGCTGCAAGTCAGGATAGACAGAGACGTAGAGGCAGAGGAGGAGCATGTTTTGTGAACTGTGAAAGAACGCACTAAATGTCATTGTCAGTTGACCCAAAGTTTCAAGCACTAGTTTTTCGTTTATCTCTCCATAAAACTTCCCAACCAACATCTCAGAAGATAGTGAAAAAATTTAGAAGCTTTTTGATCTCTGATAAGTGGTTATTTGTAGCGAACCGAGAAAGTTAGGCTTGTTTTGGTTTCTCGTAGACAAAGCATAGGGTGCAGGCAACCCCTCCATCGCACGGACCCATGCTATGTCTTGAGAAACCGAAACAAACATAACTTCCTTGGTTCGCTATAAAAACCTACTCCCAAGATATCAAAAAAATTCTGAAATTTTATTCTCTGTTCTGAACCATACATTGGGAAGTTTTGTTAAAGACACAGCGAAAGGCTGGTGCTGCAAGTTTCGGAGATCAAGTGGCAGTCGAAATCAGCTACCCAGAGTCCAGACTACTACACGTATGCGCGTACGCGAGGTGGTTGCCAGACCATCTCGTTCAAATAGCCGTGCACTCAAGCGAACTTCTCAGATAAAATTCAACTTCTCAGATAAAATTCAACAACAAAATTTTTCTGCAGTTAAGTATTATTATGTAACCACGTGTACACAAAACCATCCATTTCCTTCGCAAGGCCGCAGGATGCGGCGTCACTTTAAGTGTTTTTGTTTTATTTTTGTTTCGTTTTTGTTTCATTTTTTTTCGGAACTTTGTTGTAAAAATCCGTATGACCATGAAACAAATCTGATAGAAAATCGGAACCATAGCTTATTAAAAAATTTCAAATTTCCGTCAAGAAGCGAATTTCAGAAATTTTCAGGTTTTACAGCCATCTGTAACTACTTTAATGTAACGTGCTCAGTGTTGACATGCGCTGCATTTCCAGCATCTCGTAACTTTTAAGTTGATCTAACTAATGAATCAAAAATTGAATTAATTTTATTTTTTAACCATATTGTAAATTTCATTATTTTTAGGCCCCTTTGAATGTGCAGGAGGCGATGCCGCGGTATCAGTCGCTATTGGCGGATGAAAAACAAGTCAGCTATCGTAATACGGTTGTCGTTCGCGGCTGTGACGACGCTTGGTGGCTGGGGTATATCCAGGATATTGACGGCGAATATGCGTTTATCCATTTTAACTCAACATTAACGGAAGCTCGCTGGATGCACTCGAGAGACGTCTGGCCTCTGCCATCGTACTGGGACACCGAGCTTTGTATCAGGGAAGGTTACCTGAACGTGGAAATATTTGCAGCCCTGCGTGATGAAGATAACGGTCCGTTTCGATTTCGACCAGCCATTATACTGAAAATACTTTCGGGCTGTAACTCGGGTTGTTCGATGGTTTATATCAAAACCGTAGGTTTCAGCAGCGACGCTGCCCCGCAAGATCGTCTTGAGCTGATCCACGAAGGCCAAGTGGCAAGTACGTTGCCACCCAGCGGTGCATCATTGCTGGACCGCCGCGAAGGTATGCTCTATACCAAATACTGGATACCATTTGATCAAGCCGAAACCGTTCTCAGTGAGCCTTCCGATAAGTTTCGCATGATTAAACATCTTCAAGATGCTCTTCGAGCCAGAATGCATTCATTAAGGGGTCAGTATTTGGCTGACGACTGCCGATTTCATCTGCGCATCGATTCGGGGGGTTGCATGTTTATCATCGTCATTCATGCAACTGATGCAACAGACGTGGAACCGACGCACTGGATGTCTGAGACCTTACCGACAGTCTTGAAAACACATCTGACTAGTCGCGCCAGTCTACCACCTATTCGCAATCGAGCATTCCACGGAAACGAATATGTCTTTTGTGGTGCCGGTAAGCCGACCGTTTGTTGTAAAGTGTAAACCTGTCTTTTAAAATGATAGTTGACTTGTAAGTACAAAGGAGATTCCAAAAATAATTTTCCCTATTTTGTCTCCCTGCGATTTTAAGTTATAGATAAATGGTATAATTTTTGCTGGATAACCCATTATAAACTATCTAAAGAAACAAGAATCAAAACAATCGAAGAAAAACTTGCAAAACGAAAAACAGAATGGTGAATGCTACTTCTGCACTTTTTTCAGCACCTTTTTTGAAAATTCTTCTTTTTATTGCCAATCCTGACCTGGCAATGTTTTCAACAAAAAATTTAAAGTGTCAACTGGAAATTTAGTACTTGATATTACTGCGATGGCAGGACATTTTGAAAAGCTCAGAGGTAAAAGTAAACGTTTTTCTTTCATTAGACACCGAAATTATCTTATTTCAGCCGTTTTGCTTTTATAAATTCATGATGCTTCCCATCGATAAAAAGCGCATCTTATGGCCAGTCGTGCGCATCTCAGATACCAAGAAAGTTTGGATTCCACCGATAACACCAAATTTTTTTCATGAAATTGGCTGTTTTTGACCGTCTGGATGCTGCGATGCTTTCTGATTGTGACACCTAGTCCCAAGCAGTTCTTATTTTCCTAGAAAAGTGGTTGGAATATGACATTTTGTTCAAAACTTTATTTTGTAAGAGGAAAGAAATCTAAATCTAAATCTAAATCTAATTTACACGTCAAGGAAAATGAGCGGAAAGATTGCGAAAAATAGCAAAAACTGTCCGGGATAATCGGGTGAAAAACTTTGAAAACCCTTTGGTGTTTTTTTTGGCATTTCTTCCCCAGTTGATTGTAATTAAATAAAATAATTTCTTTCTACAGTGTGCTAATGAAGGACGTTTTTTTACAATATGGATAGTATTAGCTGAATGCTTTAATGCCGGGAGATACAAAATAGGGAAAATTATTTTTGGAATGTCCTTTGTACCTATGTACTCTGTACCATTAACTAGAATTACTCACGCTGATTGACTGCGCGTGAGAGAGCTGAGCGACAGCCGAATCGTAAGGAGCTTACATTGTTAGCCATATATGCGGTATATGTATGACGGAGATCAGTCGTAGGCTCGTAGCATGGAGAAGCGAGTTGCTTCCTTTAGTGACGTTTAGTGGCTGTTGGGAATTAATTACTTACCTAGCCTTCACCTTAAACATCTCAAGTTGTTACATTACAGTGACTAGGTGTGGCATTGATTGCGGTAAGCTAAATATATATATTCTTTTCTTAGATATCGAAATTGGGTCACTGATGTCCACTACCTGCATCTCAGATTTGACGCATTCGCTTCTGAGCGACATATTGTCGCATTTGGACTTACATTCACGAATGAAAACCAAACGGTAACTTACTCTTTGCACTCACAAGCTAAATATTTCCATTGAGTTATTCGCCCACATACCAGACGCATATCGTTTTACAGAGAAAAATCAGCTCTATTAAGTAGTATTTTTTATAGCGGGGTGGTTTTTATACTTATCGTTTAAAAAACATCTAAAGTTAGTATTGCAAATCGTGTGAAAGTCGAAGCACTACCCGTAGGAACATACGATACATGTACAGAGTAGTTATCCTCTAAACTCGTTTTCGGCCACGCCCACTGGACCAACTATGCCGACGAAACTATTTTTTTAAATATTGCTACTATATAATATTATAGTGTCTTGAGACAAAAGCTGAACTTTTCTGATGAAAAAGCTGTGACTGGACCCTGGTTAGACTGTTTATAAGGGATTAAGGAATAAGGGATACGCAATCATTCTGAACCAGCTGTGCTAGATAGCGGCTCCGTTGAATTCAAACCATCCGGCGCCTGGTGCGAGTGGTATTTGCATACTTTTATTACGAGTATGCAAATAGAAAATACGGTAGTCAACGGCTCGTGAATGGTGTGCCACTGTTTCAGATTTCGAACTGATGTCTTTGGTGTGCTTACTGTGTTTCTTGATAGGGTGTGCGGCTTATGGCAGTTATTGCTGAACAGCTCTCGAATGATACAGCACGTCATGATTTCTTTCGAAAGCTGCTGGCAGCTCAAGGTGGACAGCGATAACTGTTTTAAAGTGGCTTCTCTGCTCAGCAGCTCAGTTAGCTCAGCGACAAAAAGTCTCACGCTGTTGAATGTGTTCCCGCCGCAGTACGGCTTTTTCTTGGGTTCGATGTTAAATGCCTTGGAAATTAAGTTGCCATTTCTCATGTTCAAAGACCACACTGACGTCAAACCACTAAGAGCTCGCCAACAAAAGCAGTCACGTTTAAAGCATGGGATTGCGGTCCGTTTGACTGCCTATAAACACTACTGCAACTTCGTCGTGCTGAAAAACTGGACAGTTGCCGCCCTCTTCGGACAACATTTGTACGACATTCTTGAGAAAGAGCCCGTCTCCTACGAACCATATGAGCCCGGCGTGACCTCTCGCCTCCTGCCAGCGCACGAGCGGGAGTGGATGATTCGTCTCACATGTCAGCCTGATGAACTGGTCATTGACAAACTACAAATCACCATTCCGAAGGTCATTCTGCCCTGCAGAGACGGAAAAATGCACATGACCAGTCGCTTTATGTGTGTCTTGAACGATAACTTCCCGCCGGTCACGCAGGACATGGTGGTGAAGGTCACAGCTGTCCGTGCGCGTTGGCTGCGTACCCTAACCTACCCCCAGGACTGGCAGAGCATTCGCAGCTACCTTCTTATGTAAGTTGACCGCAGTACATATTTCTTATGAATTATAATAGGGTCACCGTTAATTACTCAGCTTTGTTAAAAAGATCGGAAAGAAAGTATTCCTTTGAACCGGTAAATTCCAAATTTTTTTACTGTTCTAGCCCTTCAGTTTAAAAATTTGAGAGGTAATAAACAATCCTCTTACACCTGTTTTTATCAATTGCCCCCTTTTTTGAGAGCATAGAGCAGTGATTTAATCGAATTTTTGTTGATTTGTGTTTACGACGCTAACTATAAACTACGTCGTGTGAAAACTCAGTTCTTTCGTAGTGCATACACTACGGTTCTTTATCTATTATTATTTTAAAGTCGGTTACTTGATTACGCACGCAGCACGCTGCAGGATCACGAAGCTATTATAATTCACCGGAAATTGTTGCATATTTTCCTCAACCAGCAGGACCAGCAAGCCCCATTCAGCTAAACGCAAATTATTTCGCTATAGCAGTTGGAAAGTACGTATAAAGCAGTTGCAATATAACGCCAAACGAAGGTGTTTTAATTGGAAATAATGCGTGGGAATGCCATGATTGTGTTTTGTACGATCCCTTCTTGTGCTAACTGGGACAAATTTCTCATTTCAACATATTTTTATGAGCGATGTACGCCTCTAGAGGCGAGCAAAATTTACAACAAGCTCAATACAAAACTAATTTGCAATATTTACAGATCTGTAAATATTGTAAATTAATTTTGTATTGAGCTTTGTTTTAAATTGTGCGCTTCAAGCTTTTCTTTAAACTGGAAGATGATCTTGACACTGTACTGTATCATTCTGGTATAAGCACTAAAGCAGTAGTCAGAATTGGTTTGATTGACTACGGTATACGGTAGCTGGGTATTAGTTAGCCAACTACGAATGCAAAGGGCTCAAAGAAAGCAAAGTATGCAGGTACTGTATTAGCAATTTAGTATACAGTATATTTAAAGATAGCTCGAATAAAGCAAAATCTATCATCACTTAGTGTGGTGCCAAGTCAAAACCGCTTTTTTTCGTACAGTAAGTTGTGCTCGATGATTTATTTGAAGACGCATCTACTACGTACATTCTTCTTTAACTACGTACATCTACTATGTACATTCCTCTCTTCTACGTACATACTTCGACGTACGCATCTACTACGTACATTCTTCTACGTCACATACGTTCTTTAATCTTTTGTATATTACTGTGATAGATTCAGCGGGTTTCACTCGGATGGAAGACCAAAAGTATGGGACGATATCGATCTGCGGTGTGTGGATCTATCCACATGGAGCAAACTGGCTATATACGGGATCACTGAAGTGTTTCGCGTGTGAAGCTCTGCAGATGTGTCTACGTTGATATCTTATCGAAGGGTCGACTATGTTGATCATTATTACCAGGATAACATCCAGAGATCCCAGGTGACAGGGCGTTGAAGTATATGGGGAGACATTTAGGCAAACTGCTAAACTATAAACTGTTCATCTTCGATCTGCTTATGGACACAAACTGAGTTGAAAAATAATGTCGATCGAATTATCTTCGATTATTTTATTTATTGTTTCCTCTTCGTTTTGCGCTGCTAGAGCCTAGATGTTTAAAAATTATTAAAATGCCCATTTTTGAGTTTGCTCACCGTTCAGCGTTTCTGTGTGTAATAATGTCCTTACTTTCTACCTGTTCACTTATCTTTCCACTTTGAACTCGATACTCGTATGGAATAAAAATCTCATACCCATGCAAAAACGGTGCGCTACCATTTCGGCATAGGGACATTTCGGCATTGGACACTTCGGCATAAAATCTGAATAAATAATGTCTAAAAAATTTATCAACCTATGAAATTTACCGAAACTTAGAAATTTATGAAACGAGCAGCGCTAAAAATTCAAAGAAAAAACAAAGAGCCCAAGAAAACCTAAAACCCTAACAAAAACCGAAAACACTAACCTCATGAAATAAAACAGAGGAAGCGCAGGGAAAAAACAAAAACATAAGAAATCATATGAAAGCCTAAAATAACCTAAGAAAACCTAGGCAACCTAAATAGGCCCAAAAGGAACTATTTGTAAGTAATTACACCTAAGAAGGCTTAATAAAAATTAAACTTGAAGACTTAAGAAAACATAAGAAAACCTAACAAGGCTTAACCCGGTCGACACCATGCATGCCAATTGGCACGGTGAAGGACCGAATTTTTGTAGCTAGTTCTAACGCTCCTACAGTGTGTTTGTTGGTCTTATTTCAAAGGAGAAGAGTGAAAGTATAGTTAAAAACGTGAAATTCCACAGTCCAAACCTTTTCCACGCTCTTCGACGACAAGTGAAATTACCATTCCGGAAACCGCTTGTGATTATGACCCCGAAGAGCTTACTGCGCAAACCCGAAGCGCAGTCTGGTTTCGATGAATTCTTACCCTCCAGCGAATTTAAACGTATTTATCCTGACGGAATTGCTAGCAAACACTCAGACACGATTAAACGCGTGGGTTTTTGTTCGGGAAAGCTGTTTTATGAACTGGATGCAGAAAGAACGAAAGCTCGACTGGAGAATGATATAGCGATCATCAGAATCGAACAGGTGAGAGTTTTAGCAACCTGTTCAATTACTGTAAGTACAGGGCTGTAGGGCTCCCTGACACTTCGACCGCCTGACATTTCGGCCGCCCGACATTTCGGCCGCCCGTCACTTCGGCCGCCCCAAATGTCGGCCGCCGAGACTTCGCCGCCCACGGAGCAACTCAATACCACAACTGGACCAGCAAGGTTGAATAAAATTGAAACAATCAACTGCCACCACTTATGATAACTTATCAGAATACAAAATGCAGTCAAGCAAATGTACGTTCGATTTACTAATTATGATGCTGCAATTGTATAATCGAATCCATGCACCTTATGCATAATTGCATACAGGTAGGTACTACTGTATACAAATGGCCGCTCAGTTTCAAATCTGCTATGCATCTGTACGTAATGCATATTAATTTCGAATCTACCGCGCTGCTTGCACATATGCATAAATTTGCGTACGTATAATTACGTATGTATGTACTATGTATTGTGATGAAATAGTAAATATATTGTAATGTGAACAGGCTGTATGTTAAATGCCAGATTGACGGTGCAAGTTTATGGTGATACAAACATAATAAAATAAATAATTTACTTTTGTTGGATTTAAGGTTAATTTTTATCGAAAACGCTGCTGAGTGCTGACAGTCTCAGGTTTATCAGATTGTTAGGCAGCCGGAAACTCAAGCAGCCGAATTGTCAGGCAGCCGATATGTCATGCGGCCGATATGTCATGCGGCCGAAATGGCAGGATACCCGGGCTGTAATCGGTTGCACTATTGCATCACAGATATATGCTGTGCACTAACTTAATAAGTTAATTTCGACCAAACGAAGAGCTCTGGGTTAAAAAGAAAGTTCGAAAAGGAGTGGAAAAATACTGTACAAGTTGTCCTTGAAAGGCTGACGGTGTTTTGGACGATTTTTCTAGACCTGCCCTTTCCCGCATGATCTCATTAGGGAACAGCTGAAGTTGTATCTTAGCGCACAAATCGTTTGGACACAGGAAGAGCACTAGAATGCAGGTGCATGGACGTACATTCAACCCCGTATGGATACGCTGCTCGGACGCGGGATGAACGACGAGCGATCTGTACAGTAGTGCCCTGCAACGGAGTCGAAAACTTCGTCCAGTCCGATCCGAACTAATAAATTTTTCTCCGAACCCAGTCCGACTCCGAATTTTCAAAATCATACTCCGACCACTCCGATCCGTAAATGTTTTTTACAAATCCGAATCCAGTCCGATCCGCTCCGAAAATTTTTGTCATATTTATTTTTTATTTCATTCCAGAAAAATCTATAACACCTATACTATCCGCTGCAACAATTAAAGATAGCGCACGCCAAGTTATTATCGAAATTTTCAATTCTTAAAATCTTCGGAACGTTTATTTGATTTTTATACAATCTCCGTTTGAATTTTGCGTCGTCTTAGGCATAGATTGCTCATACCTGAGCGTTTTTCGAGTTGCGAATTCCGAAAATTTTGATCTTTTTGCCATCGCAAAAACCACAGTTTCTGGCTGGTGCTTTCACGTGTTAGTGGCATCTCTTTTAGTTCTTAACAAAAGAACTCATAAAAGTTATAATTCGGATTTTTTTTTTATTGAACAAGCTTCGCTTCTAACAAAGGGCACAGAGTAAGTAACTGAAGTTAACGTAAGTAATAGAAGTAGCTACGTTTAGTGCTTTACCGAATCACACAGAAGCCTCGCGCGGAGCGCGAAGCTGGCGGTGCTTTTTGTCCTAAGAATTATGGAAATTCTATAAAAATCAGTTGAAAATATAATTTTATTTCGGATAATTCGGAGTCATAATTGCATCCGAATCCGATCCATTCAGGCAAGCCTAAACTCCGAAACCACTCCGATCCGAATTTTTTTAAAACAAATCCGTCCAATCCGCTCCGAAAATCGGAGTGGATTCGGAGCGGTTCGGATTTACCAGTCCGTTGCAGGGCTCTACTGTACAGTAAGTCAGGCTTGGAAGTGCATTACCGTAATGTGAGACCGATGGGCGGATACAACAATCCACTGGTATTTTGTAGATACAGTATATCGGAAGGGCTGTATCTGCTGCCACTGTTACAGGGAATAAAAAGCGACATGAGGTAAATTTATGAAAATTATAAAACGGTATACGTAGGCTTGAACACATAATATGCAAAATGGAATACAAATGGATGCGTGTGACACTGATAATTATGATTGCAGTCGGAGCAAGCGAAAGTGATTCAGGAAGTTATGACATGGCAGTGAAGGTGTTAATTTCCGGTGCTTACACCTGCGAGGCAGCTTGGCTGTGGATCTTTTTAAAGATAAATGTGGCGGACAGTTGTTTGTAGCTTTGGAATAGACATATTCTTTGGGTTCATCGCTGGTGGTTAATGATCTTTATTTTTATGATGTAGAAAGGCTGTGATGGGAATTTTTCAGAAAGGTAAAGAAGTATGCTTTGCAGCTTTGAAATTTCACTGTTTGACTATGTACTGCGCTTTTCTTTCGCCACACTCTGTGACCAAAACTTATGGCTTATTTATAGTGCAAAACAAGATTATTGTGAGCTTAATTTTTTGGAACACTTTTCTGTTTCCATTAAAGTACTTTCTGCGAAATCGAACGAAAGTACCTTGAGCGAGGGATTTCCTTGCACATAATTATTGATTAAATCTTTAGGCTTGTTTTGAGCTCTAATGCTAGATCCAACTGTGATCCAGATACGGAGACCTAAACGGAATAGATCCCGTGGAGCGAGCAATGCGATATGTATTGCGAGCTATGCGGAAACGCAAAACGCCGCACCGCTAATTGCTAACTTTTATAATATTGAAAATTCCGACAACAGAAAATCAACACTGATCGGCGCAGCTCGATCGTAAATCGTAGAGCCAATTCTACAGTGTGCGCAGCACGTGCTATGCCGCGCCCACTAACACAACTCAAGCCAATCAGAAGCGAGACACAACACAGACACGTAATCCAGGTAGCGCAGCGTTGCGGACGTGAACGCTAGTGAACCCCCGCTCACATGCCTCTGGGGGGATGCCGAGCTCCGTTGAGGCTGGACATGCTCCCGAATCCACGAAAAGACGGCGGTCGCCGGTGTCTGTGCGTGCTCAAAAACATCAAATTCTCTTATTCCTTTTATCACATCAATTCCATAAGGCACAATTCCATTTAACAAGATGTGAAAAAAAGAGATCCATTTATAAAAATACTATCGTTTAACAGATCAACAGTTATAAGATCAACAGAAGTATTAATCAAAATGTAGACTAGGATCCTCCATTTCTGACTCGTAAAGGTCACAGGTCCTGTCCACCGTTTCCAGCACTTTGGCCCATTCCGCTCTGTTGAGCCATCCGGCGCATATGTAATGCGACTTCATCACAATCCGCTTAAGAATCAGGTGCGTATCAATGTACGACTTTAGAAATACTGCTTCATCTTTGGAATAAGGTGCGTATCAATCGTACGACTTAAAAATGAGATCCAATAAAGGTCATGGAGGGACGTCAATAAAGACAAGCGTAGTTCGCTTCCTCCCTGGTAAAAGTCATCCTTTGTTGAGGTGATCCGGGATGTGCGACTCGTTTGGGTTAATGGTCCCAAAAGGTCATGCGACTTAAATTCTAATACGGTGACTCTCTTGGGCGGTAATGATCCCAAAGGTCATCCAACTTCTCTTCAAACTTCGATTAAAGGTCATGGAGGAACTTAGCCAATTATCTGCGGCCTTCAAGCACTTCTTTGCTTGCCTCCCTGGTAAAATTTTCAGGTTGACCTTTCCGTCGCACATCCAACTTCAATATGCCTCGAGCGGCCAGAGTGCCGGCAAAGTTTACCGTAACATCTCTGATGGGGCCGGCTAACTACCGTATTAAATTTACCCCATGACATTTCCACATTCAATCTTTTACTCTTGTTCGCCGCTTGTGGCCCGTCTTCGTCTCGAGAGATCCGGTTGAATTTCCGTAGTTTCTCTCGTTAAGTTTTGACACTGGATCGCTTGGAGGGATGGCCGGTATAATTTACCGTAGCAACTCCAATGAGGCCGGCTGACTGCCGCATCAAGTTTACCTCATTAATATTTCCACCTGTTATCTTTCTCTTTTTCGCCGCTTGTGGCCCACTTTCGTATTCAAGAGATCCGGCTTGATTACCGTAGTTTCTCTTGCCAATTTATAACACCGAGTCGCTTGGAGAGGAGAGCCGGCTAACTGCCGTAACAACTCCCTTGGGGCCGGCTTTAGGGACCGAATCAATTTAAACCCCAGTAAATGCTCCACATGATTTCTTTCAGGCAATTCTATGCTACAAACGCTGAAAACAACAATTACACGAATGCAGTTAATGTTAATATGTCACGTCGCCCTCATACAATCACCATTTTCCATTTTTATGACGTACCGACAAATGCCGTAGACGTCTTTTCAATAGTGTGATCCTAACGATCAACACTATTCCATTTCATTTGAGTCGCCCTCCTCGCCGTCTCGCGGCGGCCGCTTCTTAGAACTTTCGGGTTGATTGCGGTCAGACGTTCGGTCGACTGGTCCCGTTACATCAACTTCCATGACCTTTGTCGGGTCAACTTGCCGCTGGCCACGACCTTTCCCTTGACGACTGCGCTTAACCGCCTCAACTCGATGGCGTGCGTCATTTTCCTCTAACCGAAGTCTACGATTGTTAGGGTCATCCGCCAATCGCCGTTGCACATCAGCGAGGTGTTCGCGGAGCTGCTGGTTCCGTAGACCACGTCGTCCATATGCCCGTTTGAGGACTCGCTCGGTCATACTGAGTGACGACCTCCCGTTTGAATTTTCAGCGACTCGTCTCTTTAAGTCTGGGCCGAGCATTTCGCCTTCTCTAATGTTCTGAAGCGCCGCTTGGACTTCGCTCCATGTCCGGTTAGTCACATCCAACGGTGCGCCTAGCGTGTAATCTGTCGGCTCCTTCGTTTTTACACCGCTAGTCTCCGTTTTCTGGGGGGATATTGCCGAGTCCGTTGGGTCGGTTGTCTCCAATTCATCAATCCTCAGTTTTGCCAGCGAGCTAGATGATGACTGCGCTGATTTCGGTTCGTCGGTCTTCTCTTTCTGTGGCAAAATCTCGTGACCTTCCAGTTCACCTGCCGACTTCGATCGCTCTTTCTCATACACCTCTTTCAATGGTGCGAACAATAATTTCTGGTACACCTGTCGCGCAGATGCCGCTTCTGCTTTTACTGCTGTCTTGTCCATGGGGAGCATGACCTTTTCTTTCTCCCGTTTTTCAGAAGTCCCATGACCTTTCGGTTGAGTTTCTTCCGTCGTAGTTCCAGTTGTCTCTTGACCTTTAGACTTTTCTGTCGCCGATTCCAAAGGAGTTGGAACAGAAGTGTCGTCGTCGCTCTCTTCCGATTCCACGTCCATCGGCCCTTTCGTTTTCATCACTTTCTTAGAAGAAGCCTGAGCGGCTTCTTCTTCAGCTGTTAGCTGTGCGATCCGATTTAGTATGGGAGTTGTCGGATCCCCACTCGATGGCATCTTGTCCATCTCCTGGCTGTCGGACATGTTACAATGGACTTGATTTTCCGGTGGTATCAGGCCTACTCTCGTATATCGGATCGGATATCCTTTATGTGCGTTTGTTGTGGCAAGGATGTTCTGTTTTATCATCCTTGGCAACGCGCGTTCAGTAGCGGTATCGATTTCCTTTATCATCCCTTTTCCGTCATTCCAGACAGCATTAATGTATTGGCTGATCCGGTGGCTCGTTGACCCCAAAGGGCTTGTCATTCCCGCAATTGCCCTTTTTACTCGCATTAAGGTATCTTCATTTGTAGTCGTCAGCGCCTTATCCGAACTTGACGGTCTGAATAGCTTAGCCTTATACGCGAAATTCGGATGTTTCTGGATTAGTTTTCCTGCATTCTGCGTATTCCAATACCACATCGAACTTCTGGTTGGTAAAACTACGGTGCATTTCCTTCCTCAAATATTTCTTTAAGCCAGTTCTGAATTTCGACGTTACTGATGTCGTTCTTATCCGTGTAAAGTTCTTTTCAGCTCCGTCAAATGCATCAATGATTTCGTCGATCGTAGTCAAATTATCGCTGTCTGGATCTTCAAATTCAGCTTCGTCTCCTGAATAATCAAGTTCACTCTCTCCATCCGGTTCGATGTAATTAGCCATCGCCAATGCATCGATTTTCCTGGCCTCCTTCCCTTTCTTTCTCGGCTTTGCGGGTTCGCTCTTTGCTTTTTTCCCTTTTTCAAGAGCCTCCGCTAAGCTTCCTGTTCTGTAGTTCTCGATCGAGTCGTTTTCGGGTCCGTATGTGATCTCGTACTAACCGTCGAAGTACTTGGAAGGCTTACTTCCGATGCCTCTGATTCGCGGGACGTCTCTCGTTTCGCTTTTTCACGCGTCCCTTTCTCTCTGCGCTCTTTCGTAGTGGATGCCGAGATAACCACTGGAACAATCTGTTTCACCGCTATGACCTTTCCTTTGGATGTTGACGGCTCAGGCTCGGTGACCTTCGACTTTGATGTAGCCGATTCGATAACAAATTTCTTCGGAATTAGAGGTGTGGATGACCTTTCTCCAATGTCGCCGACTGATTCCTCCAGTATTTCAACATCGTGAGACGGCGGTTTATCTTTCCTCCGTCTCTCCTCCTTCTTTTTCCCAGTGCTTGTGCTCTCGCTTTCATCACCACTCTTTTTCTTCTTATCTTCTTCCTCCTTTCGTTTCTTTAGGAAGTCACCTTTTTTAGTTCTCACGGTTCATGGCTTCATCCAGTTTAGCCGTTCTCCTTGGTTTAACGACCACTTTTGAAGGCTGGTTATCCTCCTCGGCCAATTCGTCATCTCCATCGGCCGGTTCGTCTGCCGAATCGTCGTTAGCTTCCTCCTCTTCTGAATCAGCCTGTTTCGATGGTCTCTTGGTACTCTCCGTTTCGGCCACATCGGCTACGGAGGCCTCTGCATCTCTCCGGCTCCACTTTCTTGTGCCGGGTATTGAGTCTGAATTTCCGAATATGGGGTTTCTTTTATCTGTCCCTGTGTTTCGATCTCCCACAAAGGGTTATTCTTCGCGTCATAGAACACCGTCTTATACGTTCCGTTTACCGTTCTTCGTGTGAGTCGGAAATGGGCTTCGTCTATCTCCGCTCGATGTCGCATCATGCTGATCAGTGTATTCGCTTGAACTAAGGGATCTTGGCGTTCGCTTACTGGTATCAGGTTCCACAATTGTTCTAATGCTGCCCGATTGGCGTGCTCGGCGCTCTCTTCTGACACGTCCCATGGGGCGTATGGGATTGGATCTCCTGTTATCGGATCGACGATTAATGCGGTTATGCAATCCGTTGTTCCATCACTGAAGTGGAGTGTCAGCGTCACTTTTCTGCATGTTCTGTCGGTATATTTCAAGGTCGATTCGTAATCGTCTAATATTCGTTTATTCGGGTCTGGGTCTGCTGTCGGTTTCGGCCGAATTCTCTCTTTCGTCAGCAATTTACCTTCCACTGTGTATGTGTATGCCAGGTGGTCATCATTTGTGCCCACTTTAATGCGGATCCATGCGTCTTCTTCGGTCGCCACTTTGGACACCACATGTTTCATCATCTGAATGAGGACTCTCGGGTTATGGCGTTCTTCCGGGGGGAATGAACTGTAGCGCCTCATTAACCTCTGTC